CTCGCTGTAAGTCTATTTTTTGCATTGTTTTTCTACTGACCAACTAATTCAGTTAACCGTTAAGGATCATCCAGAGTTCCGACGATGTTCTTTTCCGCTATTTTCCTCTAGCTTATATAAGGAGATATATTTAGTATAAATCCGGTGCCACTTAAGCTTCTTAGACATAAATCTCAGGATTATGCACATCATTTTGTTTCTTTCTTTAGTTACCTTGAATGTTTGTTACTTTCTTTTTTCTTACTTCTTACTGAACTACTAGCTGAAATGGCTGAACGGATTGGAATAGAATTTGACATATATATTATATGTATATCTCGTATGCTGCAAAAACACGTTTAATTGTTTTTATTTCATATAATTCAATTAGTCAAAGCCACTGGATGCACCAAGTAATTATTAACAATGATTAGTACTTTGAGCCTTAAACATTTTGACCTGGTTATGTACTTGATATCAACGAGTGGTTCCATCATAGAATTGGCCATCCCTAGGTAGGTGCCGAAAAAGGACACTAAAAGAACTCAATAGTTGGGGGATGGGCAGCAGCGACTCTTTTAAAACATTACTAAAGCCTATCTGCTGATGCTAACTTGCCTGCCATGTGTGACAACTGCTGGAAAAGTCCCTTAAGGCTAAGATTAATTTTACATTTGTTGGTATTGTGACTATAATTAGCATTGAATTCTATTTATCTCATTTATTTCATTTATATTATTCAGTATAAAATAAACCAGCAAACATGAGTAGTCCAGCCCACGGAAGCAAAATCCGTTCACAAATATGACGGGTGAGCTAGACATCGTGGCGTTTAGCCATATTTTAGGAAGCTTAACTTGGCTCACCACGCTACCATTAGCCTGGACCTTATAATCAGCATTAGTTACTGAGTGAGGAGTATACTAAAGTTCATTACAAATGGGTACAATTTTTAGCCCAGTACCTATTTATTATGTTATTCCAAATTATTTTGAGCGATATCCCTATATCCTGTCCATTTTTAATCACAGGGGCTTTGTTCTAATGTGATTTGGCTCAAATTTTACACTGCACATCCACGTTTTTTATTATTGGTAAAAATTTCAGCTTTCTAGCTGTTACAGTTTGAGATGTCTACTATTTGAATCAGTTGGAGAAAAGACACGTATTGAAATTACATGAACGCAATTCAGCTAAACATATCAGCTATCGAAATAAAAATATAGTCAAACTGGTTATAATATCTTAAAGGTATGTGGTAGTGAAAAAAATATTGAACATTATAATGGTTTCATTACGTTTGATTAAAAACCAAGTAGGTACTGTTTTTATGAATTTACAAAAAATATACTTTTTTTATCGATATTAAATAAATAAACAATAAGAGTGGTGACGACAAAGTGATAAAAAAAACTCGTTTGATAAATTTCTAAAAGGTAAATTATGCTAGGGATAATAGGGGCTTAGCCATTTTTCATGTACCCAGTATTACCTACTCTGTAAGACGAATCGAATGACACCTCATTTATTAAAATTGGTTCAGTCATTTACTTGCTTCGAAGGTGTAAAACGTAATGTACCTGTATTCGCTCAGGTGAAAACTATTAGATTTATAAAAACTTGTGCCTTTTTCTACAAAAATAGTCTGAAATAGTATCATGTTCATATTTTGTTGTTATTTATATTGTGTAGTTATATATGCGGAGGATACAGGATAAACTTAGGATTTGATTTAATGTAATTATCACTATTTCTTTTGTTAAATATATGACAGGTATAATTTTATAATATCTCATACAGGAAGAAGATTTAGTTAATAAAGATTCGGTTCTGTAAAAAACATCTGTAAATAAAAAGCAAGAGTAGCAATTATACTATACTTTATAAATAATTATACTTGCAAACTTGTTTCAGTTTGAGATGGAATATGTTAGTAAAGTAAAAAATTGCCGTGTGGTCCCGGCATAGAATAGGCCACTCCCTTCTTTCCCGTGGTGGGCCAGGAATGGGCAGCAGCGTCCCTCTTAAAACTTCTCCAAAGCCTAACTGCGGTTGCCAATCCGCCTGCGAAGCATGGTAACTACTTTCAAAATCCCCCAAGGAGGAGGATTATGTTCAGTAGTAGTCAGTTGACGGTTCATATGATGATGATAATGATATGTTAGTACAACTATAGAGTATGTAAGCATGGTGTCTTAGTCCTCAGAAAGAAACCCAAAAGTAAAACCATGAACGTGTCATAATGTATTCTGTGATGCCCGTGGTGCTGTTAGTGTTTATAGGCGACGTCTACTATCTTCTATCAGGTGAAATAGCTATTTCAATATTCTAAGTTATATTTAAAAAATATAAAAACGTAAAAGCTAAGTATATTTTTTCTTATTAAAACTAAATGACAATGTTGATGATAGAGGGTTGTTCGTCTAATGTTACGCTTCCCTTAACTTAATGCCCTTCGCCTTCGAGCGTAAATGAAAATTGGAGTCAATGAGAATAGTCCTTCTGCTGGGTGCAACTTTTTTCCGATAATGAAGTCATCATCATTTTCCTAGTGCGCACTCAATTATTTGACCTAACTAGTTAGACCATTTATACAGCGTTTTTTATTATACTAGCGACAGTGATCCTTAATAGTACAACAATAAAGTTGAAAATTTATCACAGAGGAACAAGTTTGAATAATATTTTAAGCTTCGACAAGGGGTTAGGCTGGAGATTTCATTACAATCGGGATCCTATTAAAATATGCTTACCCCGTCTTAGAAATTAGTTCAAATTCTCTTGATCTCTTTTAAGTTACTTAATTAGATTCGAGGTAACATAAAGGATCGGGGAGGATTATTTGATGTTTAATAGTTAGTTTTAATGAAAAAGTAGCTATTAATTTTTCAATAACTGTCTAACTGAAGTCTATAATATTCTACATGAAAAGTATGACTATAGCATTTAAAGCCAAACATGAATTATAGGTAATTATGTAAAAGTGGCTCTACATTACTATTTATATACAATATTAATGATACAGATTCATCCTTAAGTATAAAAATCATAAGAGTGTCGTGGCTTACCAGTATATAGTATACTCGACTTATGAACCGCAAAGGTCTAAAGTTTGAATCTGACCGACAAAAAACCTTTGATGACAAAAATTAACGATAACAAACCCGAAACTAATCACAACTCATGCCACATAGCATTCTAATACTTTGGAGAAAAGTGGCTAAGTAGAGTTATGTTCGTCATACTGGCGACGGTTGACAAAAGCTACTGACTACGACATTAGCGATTATAGCTGTAAGCATACTTATTAATATTTTTTTTTTTATAGAAAGTAAAAAGTATCTGTGTTAATTCCCCACTTTGTGATTAAACAAGTAAGGCAAATCCTTGTATAACTAATTACGTGGCTCGTCTTTTCTGACATGGCAACGTGAAACCAGATGTTCTCATTTTTCATGCAAATTATTATTTTATAGCAAAAGTCGGGAAACTGCTGTTTTTATCCTTATTTCTTTTTTGCAAAAACTTTACAGGAGTTGTTTCTCTAACTTTGTAATGACATTTAAATTAAGGTTAATTCTGCATGCGGATAAGTATTAGGAAAAAAACTTTCGTAGAAATTTTATTAATAATAACAAATCAAGTTTACTATTGTAATGAAACATACATTAGAAATATAAACTGGTTTTGTTGTAATTTATAACTGTACTTATCAAAGCAATAGAATATCTATGAATTTATGTTATGTCTTTATCGTGATCTGATCTTCCAAAAATAATAATAATTACTCTTATGGTTAATATAATATCATAATTAATATAAATAAGTAAATATTAATATAAAATTTAAGGTAATAATAATAAAAAAATTTGTTGCCAAGTGCTAATAATAAATGGGTTTTTGATTATTTCTGGAAAATCCATATACATAGCAATACGTATGTCATATTTTATAGTTTTATTGACTAACTTATTTAAAATAACAGAAATCAATAACGTCGCTTTTATAATATTCTGTGAGGGTAAAATATGTATTGTCTTTTTCACGTTGTGTTGGCAGACGAATATGTTATAGTATGAACAAGTGTTTTATATTAGGCAGCAATTTATTAGCTGCAGCGAAGCGTTTAATCATGAGAAAGAAGCGAATATACATCTAAATGACAGGTACTTAAATTTTTAGTATTCAAGCTATAGTATATATTTCAAATTATTTATATTATTATAATTTCACAAATCTAAAATTGGTCAGTCAATTTGTTACGGCACGATAATATTTTATATTTATTTTACATCTTATAATAGTAATAGTGCGCCTATAACAATAAGTGTAATAAATTTCAATCAATAAATAAATTATAATATTAAATAGTAATAAATATAAATTTTTTATGCAACTTAGAATGGCAAACAAGCTGACGGCCCACCTGATGGAAAGTGGTAACCGTCGCATATGGACATGAGCAGTACCATGGACATAACAGAGTATACTGTTTCGCCCATGATACTCCCCATGTATTGCCATTCCTGAGGACTTAGGTATTAGTCCTCTGGACCCCGAAAATTTACTGCCATATTCTACCCTTCAAACCGAAATACAGTTATGCAAACATAACTGCTTTACGGTAGTAACACGAATGGGACAGAGATTTGGGCAAACGACTTTTGATAAATACTTTTTGACTATTTTAATAAATATATATCTAATATAGAAGGATTAAACCGGAACCTACCCGGTATTAACCGGGTTAAAATAGGCCACCTCATTCTTTCTGGTGCGTGTCGTAAGAGGCGACTAAGGAAGCTTATAGTGGAGGGATGAACAGTAGTGCACGCGAAGCGTGGCAAATACTGGCAAAACCCTCCTGATGGGGGAGGCTATGTTCAGCAGTGAAGAGTTAACGGCTGATACAACATGAGACATGTATTAAAAAAGGTGCACTATCAATATCCGCTATCCGTTCATTCTGTGTGCTTGTTTATTTTTAAATATAACCTACTTATCGTAACTACCGGCTTTTAGACGACTTCAATCTAGAATATTGTTTGACTACGTGTAGGATCGTTCACCGAAAACATGTTATTCGCAGTGATATGGTGAGATTGTTTTAAATAGATAATTGTTTTTGTTTTATGCTTATTTTTTATTTTACGTAAATACCTCTGAATGTTCTAAATATTTATATAGTCAGTAACCATTCGCTTGTACGAAAATTATTCATAGATATCCATACACCATATATTTACGATGCTTACTGTAATAATAAAGCTATTTTACTTAATCAATGTTTTATTATGTTTACAGTCTCATTATTGTAGTGTCATTAGTGTCGTCTGAGGAAACGCTACAACCAAATATAGTTTTTATAGTTGCTGATGATTTGGTAAGAATTCCAAGTATATCAAGAAATAAAAGCTTTGTATTTAAATCAAGCAAGAACATACAAGCAAATAAAGAATATATTTAATACATTTCTAACTATTAATACTGTCATTTACCTATTTAGTTATATAGTATATGAGATTGGCTGTATTCCGCTGCTTTATCCATGTAAATTAGTACATATAATATTCTATGTGCTAAGTTAGGATGTAACCTACTTGTGTACCAAATTTCCTTCAAATCTGTTCAGTACTATTTGCTTGAAAAAGTGCCTGCCGTACATCCGGCCTTACAAACTTTCGTATGTGTAATATAAATAGTATATACTACAATATTATTATACTTATATAATTGATGTGGTTTATGAAAAAATTGTAAGTAGCTGTTATAGGTTTAGTTGCTTATCAAAATAAAACTTATAAATTCTAGATTATTTTTTTTTTTGATACTTTTTGTTTCTTGTTATTGTACACATTAGTTATAAAAATATGACAGAGGTATATGAGTATTCTAGATTTTATTTCCTATACAATTTATTTATCCGCTTTCAGGGTTGGGACGATGTAAGTTTCCATGGATCAGATAATATTTTGACACCTAATATTGACGTACTTGCTTATGAAGGTGTGATACTTAATCAATACTACACCGATACGGAGGGAACAGCTTCTAGAAGTGCGTTTTTTACCGGCAAATATGCCATGCGTCTTGGTAAGTATGAATATTTAGTAATGGACCCATTCAAACGTCATTTTTACTAAGGAGATTCCTTGAAAAAAGGACGTTATTTATGTACAGAAGTGTACTTGTTAACATAATCGTTCTGTAGGGATAAGTGGAAATGGATTCATCTCTATATCAATAGGGATAGGTGGAATAAAATTCCACTCTTATCCATCAAGGGTAAACGTTGGCAGGGATTAGTAGAATTGGTACCGTATTCATGTTTGTTGTTCGTATTAAGTGTTGTTGTAAATACTTGTAACTCATAAAATAAGCCGAAATATAGAGATAGTTGTAATGTTTCACATAGAATTATTTTACTTTGATATTACCATTTAGTATTCAATAGGGTAGAGTTAGAGTTACACTAGTTAATTGGGTTTATTTGAAAACGACTGTTGTATCACAATACCACTTAAATGAAAACGCTTTGTGGATTTTAGTTCAAAAGTCACTTAGTAATCAGGTTAATATAATATTATAATTGCTTTGTTTATTTATTTACTAATTCTGTTTATATATTTACTGGCGTTTATCCGCAACTTTGATAAAGCGAAGGCCAATTAATTTTCAAATTAAGCAATATAATAATGCAAATTTATATTTCTAAATGTGTATATAGCGAATTGCGCATAGACTAAAATTTAAGTACTTTATGTTCGAATTGAGTGGTTTTCTATGCATACATGTATATAGCTATGTTACTTTTCATTTTTTTTATAAATTATTAATTATTATAATTATTTTACAAAGACAACACTTTTTATTAATGTTATTTATGTATGGATTATTTTTAATTTTAATACCCATTAAAATATTCACTGTCAAGCAGCTGTGTTTGTATGGCTGTCTTTCGGTTTGAAGAGAGATATTAGGTAGTGACATTACTGGGAATGAAGGCACTTAAGGCAGTTATACTATCATGGATATTACATAATACATACACTGAGTATTTTGTTAAGTTTCGTATGAATATGACAGAAAACTGTCCATGTATGCAGGAGAGTTTTTTGCCATTCGATGAATTTAAATAAATTACCGTCATTATCGATATCCTTTTACATTGATATAAGTCGTGACGATGTGTCGAATAAAAATCAGAATTTATTCCGTTTTAAGAAACTATTTCTTTTGGTATTACACCTATATTACGTCTGTGTATACATATATAGGTATGTATATACTATCTTTATAAAGTATAACTTTGTGTATAATATGTAATCAACACAATATTTTTTTTTTCATAGATTTCATGTTTATTTTAATATTTTGTGATACCTATTTATCCTATTCAGTTTTTGTAATATGATCTCCATAATACTTTAAACCTTTTTTATATTTCCCAATGTGATGAAGGGCTTCCTATTCGTTAGCATGGATTCGGTTTAGATTACTTTGTTTTTTTCTATTTGTCGAAATCCATTTTTCTTTGAACTATTTTAAATATACCTACCTGTTATGAATGCTATTTCGAATATTCATCAAAATATTACAATAAATAAACTATGAGATTCTTGTTTTATTAAAAAATATCTATATAAAAATATATAGTATTTTCAGCAATATAATGTTAAAAGATCAAAGTGGAAAAAATTCAGAAATATATCAGTATTATAAAACATAACGTTGTACTATTTGAATATGAGAATATGTCTTAAACAACAATTTGAGACAACGAGAAGAGCTTCTTTTAATATGGATATTAAAATACTTAGTGATGAGAAAATTTTAATGTGATGCGTCGGTGTACATCTTTAAATATGTTCGTCGTTAAATTTGATTAGGAATAACTAATCAAATTTAAATATTCTCGATTTAGCTGAAATAAAATTTACAAAAATTGTTTTGTTGAATACTTTTTAATATATCCAAAATTATATATATTTTCAATAGAATGTCAATAATTAATATAATAATTTGTATAACATATTATAAATAAATACATAAATAAAATATGTATTCGGACTTCACCAATTTTGTAATATATAGGATTGATGATTTCGGCATTAATCAAACATCTTGTTACTGATAGTATTGGCACATCATATTTCAGGTACTCAAGGCATCTCAATATCGGCAGCCGAAGACCGCGGTATACCTATAACAGAACTATTACTGCCATCCTATTTACAAAAGTTGGGGTACTCAACACATTTGGTCGGAAAATGGAACGTAGGCGAATCTAGAGAACATTATCTACCCACCTACAGAGGATTCGATTCTTTCTACGGCTTCGTGGGTCGATCTGTGGATTACCTCACGTATAATCTTATAGAGGTACAGTCTATTTATATGTATGTATAGATATTCGATTTTGACAATCACTACTTATTAGTTCTTTTTAATTTGAACTTTAAATAACCTATCCTAAATTGGAATTTTCATTTTCTTATTTTTAGTCGCAGTATCTAATGTCTTACTGCAAGACAAAGGTCTCTTTGTTTGAGTTTATCGTAGTCATTGAAATCAATTTTATTTTAATTTAATTCGAACCTTTTAGACAAGTTTTAAAATTAAAACGAACAAAAAAAGACAACATACAGACAACAAAGTTGTCATCAATCTTATCTTACTTATAATCTGTAAAATTAAAATTATGATATATATAATTTTAACACCTAATTGCGTTCTCTACCAGTCAACCATATATTAAGTTTTTTATAGTGGGTGATAATGGAATGATAACCTTATCCATATACGCTGGCGAGGCACCAGTGAGAAATGATAAGTGACGATGAAAGCAGGGCAGTTAGCCCTTCGTGACGAATTCCACTAGAATTAACCACGATGGTTTTTATGTGTATGTATGTATGTATATATATTGTTATAGTAAGTAGTGTAATAAATTATATGTATTTGATATTTTTGTGCATTACATGTTTTTGTATTTTGTGCACGAAAATTGTTGATTCACTCTTGCGCCACCTACCCTTTTCTATCTGTTCTCCCTTAACTAAAGGTTGTCTGTAAGAGATTGCCCTAGCGATAAGACCGCCTTTTGTACCTTTATGTGTATATTTCAATCTGTATTTATGTTACTGTATTTCATTTAAATTATTCACTTGTCATTGTATATTTTTATTTATGGTGCAATAAAGAGTTAAATAAATAAATAAATAATAATGGTTTTTAGGGGGAACCGCGTGGAGGTTCCCCCTAGAAACCATTGTGACTAGAACACAAAGTATCATAATTACAAAAAAACTTGAATATGTTTCATAATGCAAGGGGCAGGTGTCATTGAATTTAAAAATAGTAAATAATATGTTTTATAATCATCATGATCATGATAACTTTTTGTGGTCCCTTACAAGGGATATAGGTATATGTAAATATAAAGGAATTTTTATTTATGACATTCTTATAGAGTAGGTTTTAAGCCACTTCCGCGTGATTCTAGGGTTCTTTAATCCTTACTAATATGATAAACGTAAAAATTACTACATGTAATAATTATATGTTTATACTCATTTACAAAATTAAACGTTTGAATAGATTTGCATGAATAAATGAATCTATAATTAACATATAGATTATTTTTAATCCATGCTAGCAAAGCCACAAGATGCAGTTAGTAAGTCGAAAGTAATAAGTGAAAAATAGTAAAGTGAAATTTAAAATATTATCTAAAATTAAACCAAATCGCGTTATATCATATGGCGGTACTGGTTTGAAAGATGTTTGAAATGCAACTTTGATGAGTTATATTGGAACAATTTTCCTATAAATTCTTATTGTTTAGTCCTGAACTTCAAACTTTGTGAGACTTTGTAAAAAATTTCGATATTTTTATTATATATTATGTAATTGTACAAGACTGCAGTAATAAAAGACAAAAAATAAATAAAGGGGAAACAAAATAAAATACACAGCTTTTTCATTATTTGGTCAATACTAATGAAACTAATAAGTTTGGTGTTGCATTTTAAATTGTTATAATTATAATTATTAATAACCTATAACTAAACTAACTCATACAAATACAACACCGCTATTTTACCATAATACAAATGGACAACCATTATACTATTTGTCGTCTATTCGATATATTTCGATTTGATCTCAATTCGATTGCATCAAAAGCAGGGCCTGCAGATTGCGCCGAGTATATATCTTTGTTTTAAACTAGTTGATGACTAATTTAAAATAAATGTTGCTAGAGTTGCATTTCATTTTGTGTTCTAAGCCTGAATCTAACTCTCTTAAGTTAGTACCACTCTTTAACATTAATCCTACTATACACCAGTGCAATATTTTTTCAATAGATACCACGTGTAATGCAGATGTAGCGTTCACTATGAGTATGAAATCTGTAATTACATTACATTAAATATTTAGAGACAAAAGTTATCGCTTTTTTATTAAGTAAACAGTCAGCTTGTTGTCATTCTCAGTTCTATATCATCAATTAATATTGATTGTGATTATAAATATTCTAATAACTATGATTATAATAAATTATTTTTATTTACTTAAGAAAAATTACTGGTTATGCTTTCGATAATTTTGTCAAAAATTTTGAATTAAATAATAATTATCACTTATAAGTTCACTTTTACATTTCCTTTTTTCCAGAACTGCAACGGCGCTGATTACTATGGGCTCGATCTTTTCGAAAACAGAGAGCCTGTATTTGATCAAACTGGTCATTTGACTGAAATCCTTACGGATCAAGCTATTCGAAGTATGCTATAAATTAGACAACAATAATTATTTATATATTTTTAAATGGAAATATAAGTATAATAAAGTAATATACATTGCATTTCACATTTTATTTAGTAGTAAGAGTTAAATCATTAATATAAAATAAAATTCTATTAAAAGGAAAAAAAAAACAATTTAATAATTTACTTTTCGTTTTGATTAATACCGTTGTTGCTTTTTTAAGTTAAATTTTAATATCATATGTATTTTTATATTTCAGTAATAAGAGATCATAATACATCTGTACCGTTATATCTTCACATATCTCATGCCGCACCTCACGCCGGCGGTGGGTTTGTTAACTTGCAACCGCCTTTAGATAGTATAGAAGCAAATGGGTATATCGCTCATTCTGCTAGGAGATTGTATGCAGGTAATTTGAATTCCAGTTAATTAATATTGATACTTCCCTATTCTGATTTAAATAATTTATATACATTTTATAATCATGAGCATTCAGGTCAACCGACTAATCGAACTTGGCTGGAAGCGTTTGAAAAAGTAACGCCTCATCTTTTCATCTACAATACCTCTTACCTACCTTTTTAACTAGTGCGTGTTGCTAGTGATGTCCTATGGAATCTAAAAATCATCCTATGCGGTATATAGACATATACAAAAGCTTAAAATTACTCTGCAAAGTATTGAGATGGCTATGATCAAAGTTCTTTGCGTGACAGAATCCGAAATGAAGATATCGCAAAGAATAAGCAAGGATAAGCAAGTGCATGTGGCAATAGACTGGTCGCATAGCTTGAAGAACCGACAACCAAAGGGAAAGAAAGGTTCTTAAATATCAACCAATGTTTAGCAGTGGACAGATAATGGTTGATATGATAATGCAATAAATATATTTTTTATTTTTTTTATATATCTATATATACCCTATCTGTTATATTATAAAATATAATTATTTTGGGCCAATGATAAATTGGCGCATTGAAGATTATTTTGCAGGTGGAGGCCTGATTCCCTAAAAAAGGCAAATAATGTGCTCTCAGATCTATGATGCTATGGGTATCTATTATTAGTAAATATTATTGATAATATTATTATAAATATTGAAACTACTTTACATTACGGAATTATCTACAATTACCATTAGCTATTTACATTTTTATGACATTTACATTTGTATATTTTATATATTTCAGGATTAGTAACAAGTTTAGATAAAAGCATAGGACACATACTTTCAATGTTAGCAGAGAGAGAAATACTCGATAACACAATAATTGTCTTCGTTTCGGATAACGGAGCGGCACCAATTGGGCCTTCGCAAAACTTTGGATCCAATTTACCATTGCGAGGTGTTAAGGGCTCTCCTTGGGAAGGCGCTGCTCGTGGCGTAGCTTTTCTATGGCATTCATCAATATCATCCAAAATACATGATGGATTGTTTCATGTTACTGATTGGCTTCCTACGTTAGTTAACGTAGCAGGCGGAAACATACCAGAAAACATAGATGGCGTTAATCAATGGGATACAATTAATAGCGATGAGAGACCTAAGCGACTTGATGTTTTAATAACAATAGATGACTTGAATGGATGGGCCGCATTCAGAGAGGGTGACTTCAAAATAATTATAGGTAATGTGAACCGAAATTTTAGCGGTTATTACAGTAAAGAATTAAAGGTTTTAAGAAATACAATACCATCCTACGAAAACATGTTACTAGAATGCGATGCAAATCGAATAATTAGAGAAACATTGGATTTGGTATTGGATGTTGATTTAGCATTTGCTAAACGAAAAGAATTAAGTATGACATATATTAACGAGAATGAAATAAACACAGAGCCCTGTGTACCAACTCAAGGTATTTATCTTTTTGGTACATATACTATTTTTTTCTTGGTATTCTTATTTTGTTTATATTGCAGTATAAGTAATTGTTTGTTTTCAAAATTTCAGCGAAAGGTTGTCTTTATAATATAACAGCTGATCCAACTGAAAGCAATGACTTGTGGAATAATTTACCGGACTTAGTGAGACATCTGACTTTACGACTCAGAACTTTATGGGCGGATATGGTGCCTAGACGTCAGCCTCAATTAGATCCGAAAGCTAATCCTTCATTTCACAACTATATTTGGTATCCATGGGTAGAGAACGACGAAGTAGTATTGGAGCCTCCTAAAGTCCCTACATTCCCTTTACAAGTTTCTGTTGATGAATTAGAATATTTAGTGGATATAAACATGAACACGTTTAGAGATAATTTAAATCTCTATATTAAAGATATGAGCAAATCTTTTATTAGAAGCGTGAGTGCATTATTCTCTTTATAAATTCCGTCTTACTGTAAATATAACTTTATTAGTAAAGTTGTTTGTTTTAAATTAAGTGTTATAAGATGACTAGCTGTAACCAGCGTCTTTATCCGCATTATAAAAATATGTGGTTATAAATTTATAAATAAAATGTTATGAATAGAATACGGTCCATTTATGTACCAAATTTAATCCCAGTTTGTTCTGCATTTTAAGTCTTATTAAATAACAAACATCTAAAGATCTTTCACATATATAATATTACTAAGATTAATATGTATTAAGTATGTAGTGCTACGCAACGCGTATAGTGGTATGGGTTGGGTAATCTGAAATACCTAACGTATTTTATGAGCCGACGAGGTGATGTGTCGTCGCTTCGTCGACCGTCCTTTGATCAAGCGGGGCGTGCATTAAAAAGGAAAATTGGTAATTTTCGGGTTAGCACGACTGAAAGAGCATTTACTTTATCATATTCTAGCAGCAATTATAGAAAATAGTTCACGAGAATAAGCAGCTTATTTATAAGAAGTGGATTTTATAAAATTATTAGCAATTAGTTAATTTTAAAGTTATGTTATAAAAAAGTTAACATTACATAGCGTCCAATGAAATCAAGATAAACAAAACATAGGTATGAAACAGAATTACAATATGAATGAAACAGTTTCGTGTGAGCACTTTAATTAGTTTCGTATAATTGGAATGTAATCCACTCGGAAATACATATATACCAGAAATATTTTACCTCATTTTCTATATAGATATGTACAAATACAATTATTATAGATTTCAATTAAGTAGTTTTAATGCCTTTGTTTACTTTGATGGCCTCTTTAAGGAAGAAGCGATCTCGTAATGGTTATTTCCACGTTCGAACAATAACACTTTGGTTTGTGAAAATTGTACTATACTGGGATCCCTAAACACTCTAAATCGACTTAGTATTGCCGTCATAAATCTTTTGAACCGGAGAGCCCTCTAATCTAACGCTTCAACTCAACAAGAAATATACGAGTCTTCAGGCGATTTGTACTGCATTCTTAACAATACAGCTCGGATTGTGATTTCAGAGGCGGTCTTTTATATTCTATTTGGATATGGAAAACCAGTAAACTTGGTCACATAATCACAGAATATATACCAAAGGTAACAGATTATACATAATCGTATAGTATTTTTAGGTACGAGTATAATTATACTGGTAATTTTTCTTGATTGATTGATACATATATAAAGTATCAGTTAAAAATATTCCTATACGTGTAATTTGAAAATTTTTAAATAGACCAAAACGAAATAATTTATTTATTAATTTAAACTTTAATGCACAATTAAATAAGTAAGTGTACATATGACGGACTTAACACCTAATGACGGTTTTTTACCAGTTAACCATAAGGCAAGCAGAAAATTAAGTAGGTGTGCATTTATTACTAAAATAAGTACAAATATTGTTACTTATACATATATATCCATAAATACATACATATATATATATATATATATATATATATATATATATATATATATATATACACCTATATAAATACATATACAACTATAATTCTAATGATGATAAATCATATAAAAGAAAATAAGGCAGAAAAATACCTACCTACTATACTACTACCTAAGTAGCTAAACGGTACATATAAAAAGCAAAAGAAATAAAGAAATAGAAAAAGAAATAAGAAATAAACCCAATGCAATGGGTTGGGATGTGGAGAAGTAGCTTCCTACATGGACGAAGTCAACAAGAAGTATTGCTCCCATGGAATATAAATTTGTATGATATTTTTTTTAGATTAAAAACACATCTCATAAAGAACATGTAACTCCATACGTATTATAATAGGTATTATTTATGCGTTATTCCATAATCAATGATTTTGTGTTTTTTTTTTATTTGGAATTCTAGTCAAAAATAGTTTTGCACATTTTACTAGTGAACAATAAAAGTATTTAGGGGTTATAAATACGAAGATAAGACTTTCAGAATGCCCAAGAATCTTGATTTATGATTTGGTTTTTACTCTTTAAATAATTTATAAAAAAAATCCTAGATACGTATGTCCCTTTTTTGTAATTGATCTTTGTATTTAATAATTTCGACAAAAATCTTTTTATTGCACATATTATGCGCTGTTACTTTGATAAAAAACAAGTCAACCATTTTAGCGTATATTTAAATAACTTTATTATTTCAATAAGCTCGATTTCTTGAAATAATATTACATTCATATGAAAATATATGTGAAATATGTTCACAAGGTCTTGATAATATAGAGAGGATACAATCATAAATAATTGGATACGTTTTATGACCACGCGTTGCTATTATACCCAAACACGATTAACTAAAAGAAGGCTATCATTGAATAGTTATCGTTGGCAACACATTCTGGCGCACGGCCAGTCTTAGTTTGCGCTTACTAACTTTATTATGCATTACAGTATGTCGTGTGAACCAAAATATGCAACTGTTTACTTGCCAAGTTTAAGTTTTACATTTTCATTAGATGATAGTACGTCGCCGGATGTAAATAACGTGATTAAGGCTCTGAAGAACAGATAAGAATTTTCAAATTTATTGCACGCACTAACGCATCTTCTTGTAACAGGTAAAGTCTTACGTTTTTCATCAAGTGTTAAAGGATCGACCGAGGTCTTAAGACCTCAGACAATCAGAAAGCTAACCTATATTTTGATAAACGTACCTATTTCTCATACAATTTCTTGAGTAATACACCAGGGGAGAATCGTTAGCTGGTTGGTTGGTGGAAATTTTTTCCTCTACAAAAGATATACCCGTAAATACTTTTTATAATTATTATCTAGTCGTTCTTTAAGAATTAATAAATGCATTTTATTATTTACCTTTACGCAATATGTATTATAGTTATAACAAAAACAATGTTAATGTTGTTAGTATTATTATTGAACGTGTTTACTGTGTCTAAAATACTCTATGCTAAATCAAAACCGAAGCTGCCAAAGTAGAAACTCAGTAAGTATCACTCAATAATTTGTTGTACAACATAGCTAAATTTATGATTCGGCCCTTTTTGATGTAGCTATTGTGATTCGTTTAAAACTCAATCATACTCAATGCTTTGTACAAAAGTCATCTGCATGGATAACTCTGTCCCATTCGTATTTCTCCCGATAAGCAGCTACGTTTGAAATGTTGTTTTGGTTTGAACGGTAGTCTCCACGAATACACATGATAGGTATCATAAGCATTACAATATATTTATACGATATCTGTAAATACTGGTTACTGCCATGGAGTAGATAAATTTTTTGTTGCATCAATTCTGTGATATCGCTTTCCACGAGTTAGACCGTAACTTGTTTAGCATTCTAAATTATATTTATAAAATGTAAATTAATATTTTAAGAGGGAAATATTTTATTTTTTGTTTGTAATGGATAAACTCAATGTTACTTAATCGATTTTAAAAATTCTTTCATCTATAGAGAGCTATATTATCAACAAGTATCATGAGCTGTATTTTATTTTAATTTTTTTTATCTTCTATTTACTCGTACGAAAACGAGGCGAGTCTCTAATATATTATAAAATAAGATATGAATTTACGTTTTACTTTTTTTTGTTATAGTACAACGTGTAACAGAATCTTGATCAAGCATAGAAACAATATGGTCCTTGAATACAATTAACCGAACAGGGAATGATTTACTCTTAATGGTTGGCATTTTGCCGGTTCAATAAGCGCTTTTTCAGGCTACGTTCGAAGGATTCAAAGTTATAGGATGAAGGAAACACGTTTCGAAAAAGGCCATTCACGGTACGGTTCACGTAAGAGTTGACAAACTTATGTGTACGCGATCACGGGCGGTCTACGGTGTATGGATGTAGTCGCTGGCTCCTCCTCTATTGGAAAAGGGAAGGTGGAATAAGGAATGAAGTTCTTCCAATCACTATGGAATAAGTGGTAAAAGATACTGAGGGAGATTACATCTCTACAAAATTATAGAGGTTTAGAATCTTACTTGCCTCAACATCTCCCACGAATCAGTCGGTCGGCTCTCGCGCGAGCTACCAGACAGATTCGGGGTCGTTCGCGCGGTGGTCGACCGACCCATGTTTTCTATTATTCGTTGGTTCTTATCCAACCTAGCAGTTCTGCAGCTGTAATGACCACTTGACACTGGATGGCTTTAATAGTAATATACTACAAATAAATCATATAATAAAATTGATATATATATACATATATATATATATATATATATATATATATATATATATATATATATATATATATATATATATATATATATATATATATATATATAAAATAAAACAAATCACCTTCAAATATAAATCAATTTTAACCGTACACCACAGTGTGTTGTATTGCGTTAGCGACACACTTTGGCTCCAAACCACGGGATCGCATCAGATCCTGGAAAAAAAACATCTCCCACGACACGGATAGCTCGTCTATGTAAAACATCGAGAGCGTGTAGGAGGTACTAAGCGGAGCTATCCAAAAGATACGAGCATTATTCCACACACAACCTTACTTTTGTTTTTTTTCAGAGAGGTTGGTAACCGCAGTTAGGATTTGGTGATGGTTTAAGAGAGACGTGATATGGCAGTAAATTTACAGGCTACAGAGGAATAACAGGAATCGCAACGCACGCACGGGTGGTATCATGGGCGAAACAGTATACTCTGTTATGTCCATGGTACTGTTCATGTCCATATGCGACGGTTACCACTTTCCATCAGATGGGCCGTCAGCTTGTTTGCCATTCTAAGTTGTACAAAAAAAAAAGACGCTGCTTTCCATCCCCTGACCGTTAAGTACCCTTAGTCACCTCTTACGACCCCCACGAGAGAGAAAGGGTTGGCTATTTTGTGCCGGGATCCCATTATAAATATAGATAGAAAATAGGACCTGAAAAGACGGTCGTTCATATGATATTAATATTTGATGTAACGAAAAGAGTTTGAAGTTTACACTTAGCTGATATCGAAGTAAAAGTTTTAGCGCATTATTAAATACATTAAAATAATAAAAAAATAAAATTATTATTTTAGGTATAAATATACTATAAGGTAAAAACTTTTTTAACTATTTTATTTTTAATTAACTTTCATGATATATATATCTATAATAATGAGTGTAAATTTTTACTTAATTATCTGATTAGTGGCAGTATTAACTTTCATCACGTTATTTTCAGCAAGATATTTACGCGCCTAAATTTATCAGCAGTATAAGTGAATATAGTAAAGAGTTTATAAGTAGGTACCTATTTATTAAAAATATATTTAGTAACTTTAATAGAATCAAAAGATATACTATAAATATTTTTTTTACAACACGGGGGGCAAATGAGCATGCGGTTCACCTGATGGTAAGTGACTATTGCCGCCCATGATCACCCACAACACCAACGGCATTGCAGGTGTACTGCCAACCTTTGAAAAAAGGAATATGCTCTTTTTTCAAGGTTATGGCGTCGTATCGGTTCGGAAATACTGCTGCTGGAAGTTGATTCCATAGAGTGGTTATGCGTGGAAAAAAGTGCTTTGAAAAACGCACGGTTGAAGACCGCCACTCGTCCAGATGGTTGGGATGAAACTTTAGTTTATGGCGGG